AGAGAGAGAGAGAGAGAGAGAGAGAGAGAGAGTCAGTGATGATCAGGCTTATCGCTAACTGGCACGATAACGCGACTTCGATGGAAATTGGGACTCGCGTGCCTGGCCTCTCGACTTAATGTCTCACGTATTAATAGAGCGAAGCCGCTCGCTCGCCCTCTCGTCCGTCACTCTAAAGTACACAGCAGTCACGAATTAGGCCACAGCTGGATAAGGGCGATCTTTATGAACGAACAGTGCCTCTCGTTGTCGTTCTCTCTCTCTCTCTCTTTCTCTCTCGGCACCTGCCCGCCCGCGCGATCGTTTCCTCCAACACGGCGAGGGAGCGCTCCTCATTTCAGCGAAGGCCATTTTTCTGCTCGTTAAACTCTCTCTGGGTCGTATTAAGGTGTATTGCCACACGAGGTTCGGCCACGGGGTTCGTCCAACTGCCGTTGCAATTGGACGTGACGGCGAGTCGCTGCCGGCTGCGTTTCTGCGGAGCAGCCGCGCGGCCGCTCGCTGCGCAACGGAGTGATGCGTTAAGCCCGATGCGCTTTTGCATATTAGCAAGCCGTTAGCAACCCCTCGCAACTGCAGAGTCGACGAACGGACATGAGACAGCGTTCCGCGAACGTGAGGGAGCGGATTATTTTCGTTTGCGCTGCGCGCGGACATTGCAAGGCCGCGTAATTCACGCATGCTTATTGCCGCGTGAATTTACGGCGACCGGTTGGCCGGCATGTGTCGGGAAATCGGCGGCGATGGCAGCGGATCCGATAACACAAATCGCCCGAGACAAAGCGTCGATCGATTCGGTTATTTCAAGCGGAGCGTTACTCCGCGAAATCCTTATTCCCGCGGGTGTAACACGCGGGAATCGCATTCCTTTATCCGGCCGTTCGCGGCATCCTGTTGCAATGTTACCTTGCCATTACTTTCGCACTGGCCGCTTCTCGCGGCGCGAACACGTGCCCAAAACATAACTAAATTGAATAAATAAATAAATCACCGCGTGTGTCGTTAAAAATTTACTCTGCATTGTCGGAACGGAAGTGCCTCGTAGAACGAACAATTCAACATGGAAAGGATTTTGTAGTAAAAATTGCCATAGAATTTTGTACACGAGGGATAAATCGACATTCCACAATATTTGATTACCCTTTTGTTTCACATGTTTTATTTATATTTCAGAAACAGTGAAATTATGTGTGCTATTACAAGATTACAAGATTTGTTACACTTGAGAGAAAAAATATCTAAAACATAAAAAATAAGTAATTGGTGGATACTAATATTCGCTTACACTGATATATATATATGTTTTATACCGGAGAGAAATTTGTTCGATTGAGAAAAAGTACATTTCTTCTTGAAAACGTGGCTTTTCACGAAAGCAACTGTTTATTCTGTTCAAATAAAAGGATTAAGATTTAAGTAGATATTATCATATCATTAATAATACCGAATAAATCTTTTTTATCTTTTAAATTCTTTTTCTCTCTCTTATATGTTCAACAAAAATTGACTATGTTTCTTAGCAAGATAGATCTTATTGACTTTATTAACCTTATTGATAGTTTATACCTGTGCTATTAGAAACACAATAAAATATCAAAAAAAAAGATTTGTACGAAAAAAAATTCATACTATTCTCTTCGTGCAGAGACGCTCGATAAATACTCGCGCGGCGCAAATATCGGTATTTGGAGCACGGAACACGCGAGCCTCGATTCATCATCGCTGGGTCGCGAAGTAATAAACCCCGACGATAAGGTTTCCGCTGCACAAGAAAAAAGTGTGTGTGCGAGAGAGAGAGAGAGAGAGAGAGAGAGAGAGAGAGAGAGAGAGAAAGAACGAGAGAGATGAGCGCTGGTGATTCGAGAGCATCAAGAGCGCCAGCCCGAAACCACTTGGCCTGGTCCTCTCATTAGCATTTCCAGAAATCAATGTTTTCCTTCTCCGCAGCCGCGAGTGGTTCCAAAAGATACTCACTTTGAAACATTTCACTTATTTGTATTTAAGAAGCATCCAAATAGAATTTTTCCTCCACCAAACGTCTCCTCGCGTCGCTTTCTTATAACAGCGCGTCTCTTTCCAAATTCGAACGCGTTACTTTTTTTCGCGAAAAACATCATGGATGTCCTCCGCGACTTGTTTCTAATCAGAATCGTCCGGTTTGCTCGTTAGCATTTCTAGAGATCAACATTTTTCTTCTATGCGACCGTGAGTGGTTTCAAAAGACATATGCCAATATTTCACATATTCATATTTTTATTTTCAAGGCGCACCCCTAACAATTTTTTCTTTTCTACTGCATGTCTCCTCAACTGTTGCTCTCTTGCGATGACGCATTCCATCTTTGAATTCGCACCAGTTGATTCCTTTTCTTTTTGCAAGAATAATTGCAGCTATTTGTTGTTTTTAATCGAAGTCGTCGGTTTCATGCCGCCCTTGCACTTACTTGACGCGCGATTTTCTTCTAGACTCGATTGTATCGCGAATTTACGGTCACTCTCCTTCTCTCCGAGAGTTTTGCTGGACGGAACGATACCGCGAGCGTCGCCGCGCCCGACGAAGGGATGCGCGGCGTAACAAACTGACGCGGGGTCAAACGCACGACGGGCAATAAACATGCTGAAAGATAAACGGGCAATTGGGTCCACCGTGAGGGCCGACGGTCGCGGGGAAAGTGTTCCGTCCGCGAATACCGCGGATGCAGCGCGGACGCTCCGCGGAGTTTTCGCTTTCGCAGATCGATATGAGGAGTAACGTGTATCGCCGGGACTTACAAAAGACGGGCCCGGGTTTACTGCCGCTCTTGTAACGTTTTATAACACGCCCGCGTACGCTTTACGACCTGGCTCTGGCGAATAGTTAACGACTCGTCGTCACTCGTTATCGCCGCTGTTCCGCGCGGATTGTTTCCGTTATCGACGCCGGTATCCGAGGTGTACGTGTCAAGATTTATATCGAAAAATTCGCCGTGATCCGCGAGACGCGTTATCCTTGCCGACCGCGGCGACTTGTACGATCAGTGACGGGGAGATTGCGACACTTTTACCTCGATAATGAGCTTCAGAACGCGCCGGTATGCAATTACTAAAGAGATTAATTCTCCTCTTGAATACGGACTTGTTGCGAAATTCATTAAAAAAAGAAAATGTCGCAACCTTTCGGCCACAAACTCTACAGCAACGGTGGTAATAAACATTTGCATACGGAAAAAAAGGACAGTACGGTCAGCCCATACGTAAATCTGGTTGTGCCGACTATTCGCAGATATGCTATTTGGAGATATAAATATACATATGTATATACAAGGTGTCTGACGATAATATATAAAACTCTCATGTACGTATAGGTCAGGTCAAACTGAACAAAAAATTCCCTCACCATTTTGCAAGTAACCGCGTGAAATTTTGAGTCATTAGTTCAAGAAGATTGATGAATGATCACGCGTTATGCGGTAAATGAGCTGTGATGGCGACGTCTGCTGTCATGTGCTTGTAGGTTAGGTTAAATTAAGTGAAAAAGTATTGAGTATTGAGTGAGTAAGTAATTTACTATTTTGCAAATAACCACGTAGATTTTTGAGTTATCAAAATAGAGAAAATAAAGGAAATTCGAAGGTGTTCGCGCTCGCGATCATTGATCAATTTTCTTTAATTAATAACTAAAAAATTTATGCGGTTATTTGCAAGATGATAGAGGAATTTTTTGCACAGTTCGCCGTAATCTACATAAAAGTTTATAATAAGACGATTACAGAAAAAACAGAATACGCCCAAGAGGCGAGGCAACTAGCGTGGAGGTTATTATTACCGCCTCACGCGCTTAATATAACGCGCATATGTTAATTCATACATAATTAATAAGCGCATATATTAATTTATAATTAATTTTCACGCGCTCTCGACGATTGAAAGAAATTCGGGACAGACAGGTTCACATTTCCATTGTGTTTCTTTTTTCGCGTCTCCCGCAAGATCGCAAAGTCATGATCATTACCACGACACGTTCCTCTCCATTGTGGACCGTCGTGGCCACTAATCGCGCTCTAATTGCAAATATTGACCGCTCGAAGCCCAAGGCGAGGAGATACTCTCGGGTCGATCTAGCCTTGGCCGCGACGAGCGAAACGCGCTCGTCTCACTCTCGTCAGCGCGCTACCCACGGCGCTTTCTCCCCTCGACATTTTTTGCAGACCGATCACCGAACAGACAAGCGAACGATAATGTACGATCTACGATCTTGATCTTCTTCCAGATGCCGCAGACGGTGCCGACCGCGGCCGGCTACTCGCCGTCGTTCGACTACAGCACTTTTCAATTCGACCTGTCGCTCTTGCCGGACGATTACAGCCCGAGCGGCCAAATCGGCCTGAAGACCTCGCAGATCAAGCAGGAGGCGCGCTCGCCTCGTCCAGGATCGCCTACGATCTACCAGAGTCCGCGCTTTATTTCAGGTGATAAAACCAGTTCCGGCTTCCAGACACTGTCAGCGTCATCCGTTCACCTTT